TATCTTGGCTTCAATTTCAGAAGTCACTATTGGCTCGAGTTCCCTCCCCAACTGGCAGAAAGAATCAATACTTCCCCTCTTTAGTTTTCCCTTTACTTCCTCTCGTCTCAATCCCTGCATCGTCTGAAGGCTGCACTTCAGTTTCTAAATGTGCATTTTCATCTTGCTCCACCCCAAACTATATTTAGATCGTCCATCATTGGTGTCCTTCATTTTTGTCTCCAGTCCATACAATCTTGGTTCACTGAATTTTTCATGAATGGAGTTCTAATGCCTAAAGGCATGTATGCAAACCTTTCTGTGATAAATAATCATATTTATTAGAATGAGATTCATTGTAGCATTTACAACTGTGTCTAAATTCAGCCGATGGTCACAGGCATTATGAGGCACAGACATCACGAGTCTGTAGAGACACATTTTCAAGCTACAGTAGCTCACAATAGCAAACATCTAATCAAACATGCCAAAGTCAGCCTGATCTACGGGCTATGGGTCTTCTTTAGCTACCACAGCTATCCTCTGTCTCTGAACACCAATACCCAGATGCAAATACTGACCAGACTGAAAACACAGAAATATGAAAACTGTCAAAGAAACGACAAAGTTGACAGAAGGAAAAGGTAAATACAGCAACTAGATGAAAAAATATTGAAGATTGCTCTTGTGAGGAGCAAACACAAATGAAGAAGATTTTTTTCCGAGGGGGGACTTAACAGACAAACCTCTATATGTGCCTTTGAGTTATATTTACAATACACTGACCCACTCCCAAGAAGAGGGGGCCAACCTAAATTTGTGAGCCCTTTCTCTGTCAGTGCATTCATGTACTGAGGACATGATGTGAGTGCAAGCATGCAGTTTCCTCACTCAGCAGGATTGACAGCAGAACTAATTCCACGTTTAGCACCTTCAGTGAACTCATACTTGTACGTACGCTCAAAGCTTTAAAGGACATGGCACAAGATGTCTGACAGCTTACCATTTTATCCTTAATGGACAGACCTTCTGTACCATGAGAAAATAAGTCAGAATATAGTCAAATACTTTAGACTGATAAATGGGGAGGTCTGTCTTTCCTTTAATAAAGGTTTGCACGTAATATTGCAGACACCTGATCCCCTATTATTTAAGATCACTTCCCCTGTATTTGAAGTGCACTGCGTCAGAGACCATGGCATATAAAGAACATTGCCATGTCAATGTATGAGGGAGGTTGCAGAGAGCAGATAACCAGCCAGGAAGTTAGAGCATCCAATTGATATTGTAGGAAATAAATAAAATTTCATGCAACCTGAGACTTCCACAAAAACAGCTGAACATTTACATAAACTAGTATTCATAACAATCATTTTCCTTTTGAAAGGAAGCCAAAGGACAAGTATGAAGAAAATGAGATGAAGACAGGAAAGAATAAAGCTGCCTAAAAGATCTGATCATAAAGTGTAGGAAGGTGTGGAAATGTTTATTTTTAAATTATATATACACGGCAATTACATTTAGGTCCATTTTGTATCAGCAGTTGATACCAAGAATACAGAACTGCTGGAATGCAACATGAAGATCACCTTTCAGCGTCCACTATGGTAAATAAATACCACAGGAGTTTTGATGTTTAACACAGGAAAACAAGCTAGATTGCAGATACAAAATTATCCTCTCCAACTTACTGAGATGCCAATAAATGTACAGGTTGTAAATATCTGTCACAGTAAACAAGCATTTTTTGCTTCTGCCAATTATCCTCCAATCTCAGACTGTAAACTCCGCCTCAGCCAAAATCCATCAGGACTGTTGTATTGGTTGATGCAGCACCGTTTACACAAAATATTACCCATCAATACTCAAAACGCACAGGCGTTAACTTGACAATTACAGCGGCAACAAATCTACAACAAACAGAATGGCATGTAATGATCAAATTCACTTCATTGTTTTTCTTCTTCTGAAATGTTTTGTTAACCACATATATCTAAAGATGTAAACTGGCAAATACACATGCTGAGAACCGTTTACTGTTGAATTTTGATGCGAGTGCTGAGCAAGATTTTTTTATACTAATTTAATTTCCTCCTACACCTAAAAAGTTATAAGAAGCATAGTGCCACCAAAACAATCTTAGAAATGAACAGGGCTAAAAATTAAATAAAAAGCTTTTTCTTAACAAGCAACTTAAAATAAACTGGGAAGCATATCACAAAACAGCTTAGTGGGATTTTCAAAGGATTTCTGATCTTCTTATGCCTGGATTCATATCCAGTCCAAGCTCAAAACGGGCTGATGAAAGCTGAAGTAAACTTCCTGCTACGGTCTGTGTTGCCGGGCAGTTTTGTTCTATTGGACGTTTTGTCAGTATGCTTCCAAGACACTCAAATGGATTGTTGATAACAGAGGATGGATTATATGTACAGATGGAAAGGAGAGAGGCATTGCTATGGAGATGCCATTCTGCTGAGATAAGAGCTGACAAAAACAGCAGGTGTGTGATCGACAAGGGGAGGAAATGCTGTATACAGTACAGCACAAAGTAAATGTATTCATCTTCTTCCTGATTTACTCCATTTGTCTGCTTCTTACGCTCAGTTTAACCACCGAGAGACGGGATGAAAATCCACATGAATAAAAAAAGGTTCCCATGTGAAATACTCGTAAAATAAATACTAATAAATACTAATGAAATTCAATGAACACTGCTTGATTAAAGCAGTGAATATACAACATACAGAAGAAAGCTGGGCAATAGGTGCAGTAAAAGGTTTAGATTGCCCTGGAATCTAACCTGGAAAACAGTCAAGCACATCTGTAGCATGTTTCAATAAAAACCTCCTGCTAGAACCATGTTTTTTGCTTGCATGTGCTTAAGAAATGTACTAAAATTATAAGCCCCGTCATTCTATTTAATAAAAAAAAGACATTAAAAATACATTTTGTCTCACTTCATCTCGCTCTTTTGCACAATTTGTTCAGATGCAAGCTGTGAAAAATGCATACACACATTAATATTCCCAAAACTAAGTGCTAAAGTTAATTCTCTTTGCTTAAGGGAGCAAAAAGAATGCTGGCCTGGCCCTGAAGCAGAAGCTTTCATTTTGGAGGCTGCCTCACAGTGAAATGCAGTTTAACAGCAAGGTAACAACGCCATGAGTCGGGGATGGAGGGAAAGAAAAAACAAATAATGCAGTACCAACAGTGTAAATTGACTTTTCTTACACATAAATTTGACGATTGCCAACAAATACAAGTAAACAATGTGATACACCAACACATAATAGACAAATGATGCCATGTGTCGTGATATGGTAATTTATAGAGGTCATATAGTTTTCCATCTCTTGCATAATTGTTCGTAATTTCTCTGTCAAATCATCTCCTCAGACTCCTGTTTTGTTCTTCAATTGGACCATTACCCATAGGCTTTCTCTTGAAATCACTGCGCAATGTGGCTCAACATTTTAAGAAATCTCATCTCAGCTAAACTTGAGAAATCTCAAGTTTAGTCAACTTGTCTGCAACACTACTGACAGGCCAAATACATGGTAAGATTTAACTTGCTTGAAAGAAATGTCTCCCTTCATTAGGCAAAAGTAAATAACTGTAGCAGTCAGGGGTCCATATAACTATTCCCTCATCTCCACAACTGCATTCAGTGCATCTGTCCTGCTGACATCCATTCCCAATCAAATTTAATCTGTATTTTTCTAATCAGTGTGGCAGAGCACAATCATTTCCCTTATTCGAGTCAAGCGCATTAAAATTGCAGAGAGGAAAACTTTTTGGAATGCATTGAAAAAGACAAAACTGGTTATTTGTCTGACTTCCAAAATGCAACTCAGTGTTTTAAATTCCCCAGCAGGAAAGCTTTTTCAATCAGGAAGCTAGTTCACCTCCAGCCTGCCAGTTTTTCTAATAGCTAACACTTTCTGCACACACTCAGCTTAGTCCCACAGCCAAGTCCAAATTTAATGGTGTGAAACATCACCAAAACCCTAAAAAGGCCAGCTTCATGTCCGCATCAGCTCTTTGCATTTCTGTAAGAGTGTGATGAAGTACTCCAGTATCAAATCCATTAACTGCATTTAAAAAAGGTTTAAAAAAAAAGGTTGAGACCCCTCAAGTGATTCCAGTGGTGCCAATTTTTAAAAAACTGAACTGGACCACTGGTTCACGGAATAACTTAGAAGAAAGTGGGCGAGTGACTTCCTTGACCTGCCCAACAATAGTAAGAAAACTATGATAAAAATACTGCAATACACAGAAAAGGTGGAAAAGTTGGGAAGGGGAGAACAAAGGGCAGCGAGTACATTACAAAAGAGCATTAAAACAGCAAGTCTTACCAATCTTACACACTGGATTTGCTTTTGGTGTGTGGAATGCTGCAGTGAGGCAATCATTGAAGTCTTTTTGCAGGCAGTGAAATTGTTTTCTCCCCCCAATTTAAATCAAAACCGATGCATTTCCAAAGCCCAATATCTAACAGGGAATGACTTAAAAAGGACCACCAGCACACCGACACGAGTTCAGCTAATAACATCCTCATTACTAGTGAGTACAACTTTGTTATTGATGAACAAACCAGCTCCATTTGGCAGTTCATTGGAGCTGAAATCTTTGGAACACCATCCAGATGCCATCATTATAAAAAAGGCACTTCTGCATTCGCTTCACAGTTGATGCATCAGTTTTATTTGAGCGGGATCCATTATGTTAAACCAAATATCACAATGATTAACAGGCACCCGACAGTTCGAAATTTGGCACTTAAAGAAAAATAACTTTTTTTATTGTGTTTTACATAGCTTTGAAAGAACATCAAATGAGGAGCATCACTGATATCATTCCCACATAAACATCAGCCTCCATTACCATTTCTGACTATTCTGAGACTAAAATGGATGGCAATGCTTTCATAAACTAGATAGGTCCGCGTTTATTCCATATCTGAAAAAGGCATTAGAGAAAACAAGGGGAGAAAAATGTCAAAAACCCCTCGTTGCAAACAACTATACCTGTTTGGCCAAGTTGACGGCATCAGAGTGAAGTCTGTCTCTCAGGTGGGGGTCCAGCTGGAAGGCAGGGGCAATCTCCACAACCTAAAAGACATTAAGGCCATATTGTTGTAGTCGAAGACCCACAAGCAGAACAGAGACACAGCTATTGTTGCTTTACTCGCCTCATGATTTATTACATTAATAAGGCAGTTAGAGCCAGATAGCATCTTTTTTCATATATTTGCAAATATATTCCAAATTCTATGACATTAAATGTCTTTACTGCATAGGCAGGTGGTGCGTGATATAGGCTGGTGAGAGCACAACAAAAGCTGTGGGGTGATGGAGTGGAAACGGTGAACTGGAGGATGCTAAAATGCTCTTTGTAGCTGCAGCAGACTGCACAGTTGGCTGATAATTATAGGTTCATTAGCAAGAGTGGCTTTTTCCCCACACAAAACTGCAATTTGATGTCTTGTTTATAGTACACAGCAGCCTTTTCTTTGGTACTTGTAACAGTGCCCTCAAATCAGAGTTTCTTTCTATTTAATAAAAGGGAAAGAAGCAGTCCAAACATGTTTACATCACAATTTAAAATCATTCATTTACTTGGCTAATATCATTAATTCCATCAGCTTTACTACTGAAAATCCTGACAATGTCTTCAACTGATCTGATGTTTACTTCCAATCTCAAAATCAACCATCCAACAAATTAAGACATTGAACATGCTCCACATCCGAGTAAGAAAATGGAAAGTGAAAATAAAATCTTATCAATATAAAGAAATAAACCTACTTTGAGCACAAACACTTCAGTGTCATCCCTGAACCATAACAAATCCATTTTAAACAAATAACTTGTTTCTTAGACTCGATGAAATCTGAGATCAAAGGCAAGGCAGATTAAGCCTTTAAGAATCAAAGACCGGTGACTGTCACGAACCGAGCCGCTAACATGATTATCATTTTCATTTTATTAACGAGACAGGATCAAAGTGATGAAAGTGCATTATTAAAAACTGAGATTACTATATAAAAACATAAATGCTGCTTAACTTTCTCTGAAAAAGACTTTGTTATACTGTATTTTTCTTTTTATCTTAGAGGGAAAATAGAAAGTGTTGTAATTACTCATCAGTCCTTTACAGCCCAAACAAACCAAGTAAAAACATAAATAAACCACTTTGGGCAATGAACAAGGCTAATTCAATCAACCTCAAAGAAGCTGTTTTTGTTGATAAACTATTATACAAGTGCGGCAATTACTGTTTAGTCTTCAATCCCCATAACATTAGCAGACACTGTCATTTGAATACAATCCGCTTCCCTTGTGCCATTTAGAGCATTCTGAAACTCAGGGGCTGCTAACCTGTGTTTACAAGCACCCTATTAAAATGTCCTTAACATAATCTCTTTGTCCAAATGCAAAGCACAGCCAGCAGATGACATTGCTTGCAGGCAGGATTCTCACACGTGAGCTTTACCCAATGCTTTGGCAATATCATCCACTAAAAGATAATCAGTGCAAATCAAAAGTAAGGCCTTAAAGACTATTCTAAAGTCTAGCTTTGGAATGCATTCCTGGAAGAGTGACATTTGAGGGCGTCACCTTTTGGTGTCTCCGCTGAATGGAGCAATCCCTCTCGTAGAGATGGATGACATTACCATATTTATCACCTGAGGAGATAAGAAAAAAAAAGGGGGGGGGGGTTATGAAAAGGCAAAAAAGGTTTAGAGACAAATTTACCCTTGGAACAAAAGACACCAGACATGACACAAATTGAAGACAAAAACTATTTGAATGTTTTAAACATTCAAACAATGTGAAGTAACTCAGTTGTCTTGCTTCAGTGTGAAGGGGCATGCTTAGGCAGGACCACGTAATGCTTCCCAAAGAGCTTCTCATTTTCCAATCATGTTTGATAAACACCCGAAATCTGTGCAATTTCACACTTTAATGTGACTGCAGTTATGTTTGCGTTTTTCAAAAACAAATTTCTAAAAATCTTTTTTGGGGGCACAGAAAAAAAATTCAAAACGGTGAAGGAGTAAACAAGAGGGAAACCACACAGACATGGCTATAAAAAGATAATTGAGAAAATTTGCTTCGCTTTGTGTGCCCTAAAAACAAAATCACACAACAACCAGCACTGAATGACACATGAACACAATGGCTCTTAATGAACATGTACCCGTCCACCGATATCACAGAATCTGCTGCAAGAACCACATTTCTTTAAATGTAAGTGTTGAATTTCAGTTTCAAAAGAGTCTGCAGTTACATTTACTATAAGAGTAAATCTACCCACAGGCCAGTAAATCACATGTCTTCTCATTCTTATCCTCCCCCTCTTCCTATTAACAAAGCACAAGGATTTTTCCCTTTGTTAATGAAACTCAACTAACACGAGAGACATTTGGTTTAAGGCAAACAAAGGGTTGTGCACCTACCAAGGATCTGCACTTCAATGTGTCTTGGCTTTTCAATAAACTTCTCAACAAACAGGGCTCCGTTCCCAAAAGCTGTCAGGGCCTCAGAGTAGGCCCGCTGGTAATTCTCCTCAAGTTCCTGACGGACATAAAAAGAAAAAAAAAATCCATACATGTCAGAGTTTGTTCAATCATTAAGGAGGCAAGGCTGAAACAGATTATTTTTCTATTAACTCTTCCATTTCCCCTTTTATTCTCATTTATGCATCTTTGTGTCTTTTGACAGAAGTCCACAGGCCCAGAGGGGGAAATATTCTACCCTGTGTCTGGTAGATCACGACCCACGACATGTTGAAGGTCACAGCTCTATCTGTGTTTGCCAGTCTGCAACATGCTGCCAGCCCAGAGTCACTCTCTCTGGGGAAAACACGGTCAATATTCTGTCCCCTTTTCCTGAGTATTGGGAAAGCAAACTGAATCCCATCCTCAGAAGGCATTTTGTAGAATGAAAAATTATGTTCTTTTGAAGGGACAACCACAAGATGCAGAGAATTTGACAGTCTGTGAGAATCCTCAAACCAGTGAAATAAAGACCTAAAGCATACTGTGGATTTCAGAAATTTACCAGAAATAATGGAATTACCCAGTTATTTAATTAAAACATACCTGCTCAGGTAAGGGCATAAGTGAGTTAAAGCAGAGTATTTCAGTTTAAACAACAATTAGTTTCAGATGAGTAATTCAACAGTGCATGTTGCATACAAAAGATGCATGTTGTTTGTAGTATGGAGTGTCTAAAATTGTAGAATGCTCATAAAAATTTAATTAAAACAAACATTTTGAATACTGTAACGAAAAGAGAAAGCTAAAAAAGGAGAATTCCACGTATAGTTATTCCACTTCAACAGGATCAGTGCATCCCCCCACCCATCAGTTAACATATACATCCCGTCCCATAGTATGTAGTAAATAGTTAAGCCCACTCTTAAACAGTTTGACAATGACCCATTAGCTGGCCTATTTAAATAAAAGTCTATCTTTGCATTGTTGCTTGGGGCCCCAACAGTCAAAATCCTCCTTTTCAATTTCCTCATATCTCCACAAGCTGCTAAGCCCCTTGTGGCTCTAATGAATAACTCAAAATGTCAACAATTAATTAGATTGGGCTACAACTCAGAAAAGGTCATCTTTTCCAGGGGATTCATGACTTTTGAGGTTCAGTGACTCCAGAACAACAAGGCACTGGCACTTTTTGAATGGATCAGTGAGTAAAGCAACACACTACCACAGCTGACAATACACTGATCAGTCACTTAAAATTTGGCCCATGTGTAAGTCAGTGGCTTAGCTGTTAAATATTGCTGCAATATTTTTTTATGACAGAAAAAGGAAATTTAAACCACAAGACTTCAGTTAGACAATTGATTAAAAAAAAACACTTTCAAGGTAGGTTTCTCAAATTGAACCATTTCCCCCTCCACGTTATGGTCCAAACAGGCTAAAAATGTAGAAATAAATGGAGCTATTGATTTTAGTATTAAGTGACACTGCTGCCTTCTCTATACAGTGAATTTGGCCATTTTGGGGCCAATTTAATCATTTGCTACAGATCTTGTCAGAAACAGAAACTTTGTCTGGTGACAGTATTTGGGAAGAAAACAGCCATCCACAAAACAGAAAATATGCAATAAGCCAACTGAGGGCAGCTTTTTATCTTCTCATGTTTTTTTTATATACATGTGAAAGAGGGCAGATTAATTGGGCATTGGAGTATATTGATTTGCAACATGGAGAAAGATGGACCTTTTGGGACATGTGCATCCATCAAGTGTGGTTTTGGTAAGGCAGGCATTTTCTTGTTCCATCTATGATAGATAAATTCTCATTTTCAATTAAACCACAAGCTCTTACCAACCAAAGCTGGACTGGCTAGGTTCTGAACGACTATCCCACAAATCAAAAGGAAAATATTTCAATTCCACAGCAGCTTTGCCAGTTCGCCCAAGGACAGATAGCAGCTATGAGCCAGCATGAGTTGCAGAAGATTAGTGTAGAGGGAAGACATTTGTTCATGTATGTTACTTGTAACCTTCAATTCAATTGTAAGTCTTCAATTCAGAAATTTCTAAATTGTACGGAGTGTACATTGTTACATATAACAGATACCGTCCACTTTTTAATGTTTTTGTTTCAAGTTGAGGCTGAACCACAAACAGTCAACAGGACAAAACAGTCACAGAAAACATCTGAAAACAAGCTAAATCAAACTCGTAAGAGCTGGAGAGAAGTAGAAACAGATTTTTTTTTTTAAGATTGTTTAAGGCAAATCTAAACTAAAAAGTATTCAGTACCCAAACAGCCTAGATTTTCCTGACATCTCTTATTTCCTTAGCTGTATCCTCGTCATTGCTGAATGGTTTATCATATTTTAAATGACTTGGAGGTGAAATATGACATTGATGTTGACAGCTGATGGACACATTACTTGAGAAGTTTCAGGGCATCACATATTATATTGCCCCCCCCCCACACACACACCTTCCCAAACGATCCTTATTTCATCTCACATCTGTATGCCTAAAATCCTTTTTCCTTTAGTTACAGGTGAATCTCCTGCTTCTTAAAAGGTCGACGATGATGGAATAAATTGAAATATACCACTGACAGTATTATTTCTGCCATAGGTGAACAAATGCAATACAAGTTTCAATCCTGCGTGTTCTACCATGTACATCTAAACGGCAGTGATGAATCTGAAATCTGCCATGCAAAACATTGTCTTTACACAGAGGATTCGGGAAAAGTTGGCTGTGCTCAGTCAAATTACTGAAGGACATTTTGTAATTATCCTTGACTGATGGGGGAAAAAGAAAACTAGACTCAGTCAGGCTAAGTGATCGAGGCAATTCTTGAGAGCACGCTCAAAACACAGGAGGTGATTGGTGCCCGCAGATAGAAAAGACAATTTTTTACATTTTCAAGCCATATTATCTAGCTCGAATATAAACAAAAGAAAAAAAACAACAACTTTGTAGCCTGTTTTTTCTGATTTGAAGAAAAAAAAAAAAAGTCTGACACGATAGTCTTTTACATCTTTCACTAAAAATGCTCACCTCATACTCTCTGACCACCCTCATGCCTCGACCACCTCCTCCATAGGCTGCTTTGAAGATGATTGGAAAGCCGTATGTCTGAGCAAATGCTTGTGCCTCCTGCAGACAGGAAATGGGGGAATCTGTTCCTGGGACAACAGGCACACCTATACGGGAATAGTCATGAGAAAATGTTAACACCAACCCCCAAGTTTACAAATTAAAATGTATCTTACTCCATACCAGAATACAAGATAAACAAACACATGAACAGCCATGTGCTGTACATCCTGATTTACCTGCACTTATTGCCAGGGATCGAGCCTCCACTTTGTCTCCCATCTTGCGGACCGTCTCTGGGGTCGGTCCTACGAACATCACTCCTGCATCTGAACATGCCTGAGCAAAGTCTGACCGCTCAGAGAGGAAACCATAACCAGGGTGAATGGCATCCACGTTGTTATCCTGAGAGGTGAAAAAAGATGTTTAACACATATTCATGATCATTTCAAAGTTAAGATAAACTAAGAAATTAGGGGGGATTAACTTGAGTTGTGGCACACAGGGTCAGAGGAGACTTGGCAGAGAAGGTCTGAAGGCCATCAAGTCACTCTAGACACAAACATCCATGTCTCACATGCACTGATGGCCAGTGCAGAGGAGGGAGAGGCCACTAACAAAATTACACATTACTCTGAATGTTAGTTATAACATGGATAAGCGGTGCAGAATGGATGGATAGATGGATATTAGTTATAACAGCCAAACTCATAATTTAGTCAGGAAGCAGCAGAAGGCAACTGAGTACTTGGACAGGTGACCATAGTTTTAGGGTTAGCCCTGACAGTATGCAAACGTACAGACATTCACAGACATGCGCGAAGGCAGATCCAGAAGCTGCTGAGGCTCAGCAACAGAGACATCTCTGGATCAGTAAGTGCCATCTGCTCTTGGATACAAGACAGGCTATAATTATGGGCTGTCCTGTTGTTAAGGGAGCCATTACTGTCAGGCCAGAGGACGCATAGAGCCACACAACATTTGGCAGAGGCACACACCCACCCAACTTACACCATGAAGGTAAGAATGAAAATAAATGAATAACATAAGCAAGGCTGGAGGCGCAAATTCCCATGCATACTTCTTTTTTTTAAATTAAGAGTAATATGGTCATTTTTGTCACAATACATTGTGTAAGCAGCAGGCAAACTTTCATAGAACTAAGTCTGAACACACACACACGTGCGCTTTGCTGGCAGGGAGGCTGATTTTGAGAAATGGGTTGGCCACCACTCAGTTGGCTGACCACGTGCCCACAGAAAATTATAAACCATGAAAGACAGACCAGAAAAATGACAAAGAACTACTGGCAGCCCATCCTGGAAGGATAGAGGCAGTACTGGAGGAGTGACGAGGAGCAAATCTGATCAGCACAGCGATAAGAGGCAGGAGGAAATGAAGGGACAAAACGAGATGGCAAATAATAGTGAAATGTTTGGATACAGCAAGGAAAAGCAGAAACATGAATGCACTGACAAAAAGAACAATGGTAGGAAAAGGAGCAAACAGGTGTGCAAAATATGCAGTTTCTACCTCAGACTCCAGAGCAGAAATTAAAGTTGATAAAAACAATTTTTTAAAACTGCATCAAATCTAAAGATCTAAAAAAAAATGTAAATAGTTTGAACAGCTAATGCCAAGAAAAAGCTGTAAATAATGTCTGAGTACTGCAAGAATAATTCAGGCAAGAAGAGAAAGAAAATAAAAAAACAAACACATTTTACTTCCTTTTTAATTGCTAGTGACCATCTTCCCTTACTTGAGATTATGGACATTGATCACATCTCCACAGCAATCGTTTGTCACTAAGAAATGTTGGTGTTATTTATAGTACCACCATATGTATTCATTGTGGACTACATGTTCCATGATAGTTTATTTAGGAAAATACATTTGAAAAAAAAGAAGAGAAATTCAGCTGCCCAAGACAGGAAGACAAATTATATATGGTCTTATAAACATGGAAGTAATTCATTCCCTTTCTATGCTTTTAACCTTCCAGGAATTAGAGGTCACGGTATCTCAGACCTGCCAGGAAGTGCTCCCAGAGGTAGTCAAATAAAAGATTTTCTGAATATGTTTTTAAAAAAGGCCTTAGAGGCATGCAGCAGAAGCAAGGCCAAGCAAGATGTCAAAGTCCTCAGCAAGTCAGGGATCACAAAAGTCTTAACATGCACTTTTACTGAACCCTTTTAAAGGGTCATGCTCTTTACCTTGGCCACTTTGATGATGTCTGGGATGTGCAGGTATGCGGCAACAGGCGGCAGGCCTTTACCAATCAGGTAGGCCTCATCTGCCTTCTGCCTGCGGAGTGCAAAAACATACATTTGTACAGCAGAGAAACAGAAGTCTGGATGTTGAATGAAAAGTGAAAGATGACTATGAAAATGCTGAATAAAAAGCCTGGTCAAAAAATTTGCTTACCCAACTGAACGACAAAGAGAGGCTATCATTCATGCAGTTTTCCACAAACATTGTGGTTTCATGCTTTCAGTACTTAATCCACTGGAAGTTCCTCCCCCCACATATCATTCATTACCTGTGCATCTGTCCAGTGTCCTGCTCAGAATAAACAGCCACAGTGCGAATCCCCAACTCAGTGCAGGCTCTGAACACTCTGATGGCTATCTCACCTGGAAGATGGTAGAGGACGTGCATGATGAATAGATTAAAGGTGGCTTTGCTCTGTTGCAATTTGCCTTTATTTTATTTATTTATTTATTTTAAAGAAGAGACAGGAGTTAATCAACATTCTGCAGCACTGGCCCCATTTTGAACCAATGCTTAAAAGAAAAAAAAAGAAAAAGAAAAAATAAAACTGGTCATGTTATACATCTGTGAAGAACCAGCCCAATAAATCTTGTGCTCTTCACAACACTACCACAACACTAAAAAAAACAGACACAAACAAGTCAGCTGTCTTATGTAAAGTTGAAGAGCTCAGCATATATTCTTTCTTTCAGACAAGAAAAACACTCCCAGACTTTTATCTTGCTGTCTTAGGAGCCAAATACTTGGTTTGAAAAGCAAAAAACAGTTTTGAGGAGGAATAGCAACTTAATCGCTGAAAACTAGTACGTTTCATTCTGACTTGAAGGAGAGGATGACAGTGTTTATGCGTGTTTGAAACATGTACAAAGAAGGCAAATATAAGAAGAGCGGTAGATATACGAACATAAAAAGGTATGAAAAAGCACACAAGATGCAAGAAAAACAGACAATGTTTAAAACAGGCTGAAGAGCTAAAGATTCAATCGGATCAAAATGGCAGATTTAAACAGAGAAAGAAGAGGTGAAAAAAACAGGAGTAAGGTCATGATGGTAGGGACAGCAATTCAGGGGAAAAAATGTGGAAGGGTAGAGGAACAACAAAAACATAGGATAGTAAAAGAGCAGAGAAGCAGAGAGGACATGTGGAGTTTGGACTGACATGACGGACCAGTCTCAGCACACACGGCTCGGCACACTTTTGCTTGTATGTGATGCCAATATCACCTCAAACAGATGTGAAGCAGAGGGATTGATAAAAAGCCCCTCTGTGTGCGGGTATGAGTCAGAGGCTAGAGCCTTTTGAGTCAACTGATGGATTAAAGCCGTCAAATTCAGTCTTTGTGAGAGCGCCGACACTAATGTGGGCATGCAGAATCACAGTAGTGGGCCTATAGAGCACCCCATGTGTGCAGAATAAGAACAATACTGGAAACCCACGCAGCACTTAAGCATTTTAAATGCACCCACAGGAATGAATGGGAATGGGAATCTCTGAAACGCTATTAAAAACAAATGGGTGAATCCACTACTCACTCACATGTTCTGTTATCACCTGACAGAGCTAATAACTGCAAAGAGGCAGCGTCTCTGGACAGCATTAGCGAGAGGAAGTCCAGTTATTAACAGCAGCACATAAGCACTACTTTGATGCTGGCTCTGCATGTCACATGTCATACTAAACTTTTGGATCCTCTAATTAAAATTCTATTTAGACAGTGTCAGGAGACAAACATTTCCTTCGTTCACAATTTGAAAACACAAATTTGTTTTGTACACAGCTTATCTCAGTGTACAGTTGAGGGCTTTGGTAACATTCCACATCCAGTTCCAGTGTTCCATATGTTTGAAAGAAAGCACCAAAACACACACACACACACAAACAACCACAGCTATCAAAAAGTATCCAAAACAAACCTTTAAAAAAATGTTTTAAAAAGTTCTGTAATTACTTTTTTCTTGCATTATAAATAAAAGAAAGAAAGTCTATAAATTATTTTAACTCAATCGAGCAACCTGTTGAGAGGGAGATTTACCTCTGTTGGCCACCATGACTTTCTTGATTGGTCGGTACTCGTTCTTCGGGGCAGAGTGGGCTGATCTGGAGAGAAAACATGTCCTCCTGACAGCCAGCAGGCCGAGACCTCCTCGAACAGCAATTAACCTCAACATCCTAAGATGACAGAGAGGGAAGTTTACCACAGACATAATCAGTAAAGATTTCAAAATCCACTTAGGCAGGCAAAAGACAGGTGACAGATGAATCAAGGAGGGATTACTTTTTTCCCTCATATCTTATTTCCAGTATAAAATTATGAGGGAAACCCACAGTCAATTGACAATACATCTGCATAAAAAACTACATTTTCTCTTCTGTGAGCTCTTTTCCATGCCCACTGTGACGACTGAGCCATTCAGACCTGAGGGGTCCTGTACACATGCACACAAGTACACTATGACAATTTAAGTGTTAATGGGTTCAAGCTTAATAAAAGAACCATGTCTTCAATAAATAAATGTGAGAGCCATGGCTAAAGAGATTAAATCTACTAAAGCACCTCTTAAGCTGCTGAGGTTGTGCACAGCCTTCAACTGCTTGGCATTTTTCCTGAAAAGGCAAACTGGCTTTGTATCAATATATATACGAAATAACAAGGATTACTTCAACTCTCTGGAAGAAATTAGCAAATGTTACCATGTCGCTGTCTATTGGAATAAGAACCTAATTTTAGCGGATGACAGCATGTTTGAGAAGGGCCGGGAATTGCTGTATCAGCACAATTGTAATATCAAAATGTAGGTTTGTGATCATGGCTAAAGGGCATCGGTAAGTTAGCGCCAAAGCCAGGTTTATTTAATTTTAGTTTTAAGTTTTTTCCAACATCATGGTACTCTTAAAAAAAAAAAAAAAGATTTTTTATTTTATAAATCAAGACTTAAATACATAATCCCAGGAAACCAATACCAGATTTGATTCTGACATGAAAGTGTGACCCTGCTGCTGCTGCTGCATTCATCAGCTGCTAATTGGTCTAATTAAAGTCACCCAGCTTCAGGTGGTATTGTGCTGCACACAACAGTGGTAGGAATGATAGTATCATCCAAAGGTCTACAATTAGTTCCATTGTAAACCAGGCTGGGTGGAAAAAAACGTGCATCTTTAGCTCTCAGTTACCTTCTGTTTTCTCACAAATACTTTGTAAAACACAAGTCACTCCACCCAACAATTAAACTAAACGAGACTGACCGGAACTACAGCACATTTCAGGGGTCCCTAAACACACCTAAATTGCACGCTCCGGTATGGAAAGCCACATATTGGCACACACGTTCAGTGACACGAGTAAAGTGTTGGATAGCTACCTGGACTTGTTGGTAAGAGTTTGATTCACTGCAGCAGACACTCCTGAGAAGTGTTCCTCGCACTGAGGCAGGTGCGGATATGTCGCGGGCCTCTTCCTCTGACGGCTGCCCTTCACTAATAGATAATTGCTGCCACCTGGTGGCCAAACCCCGACACTGCACCCAACATGTACAGCAACTAAAACTACTGAGAAAGTAACTAATACTACCAAAAAGTACACTCACGAGTGTACACATTTCTGTGACCCAGAGAGATAAAAAAAAAACAACAGATATGATATTTGTATATAAAATCAGGCCAATGCAGATCATACTCCAGACCACAGGGTGACCAAGGCTAAGGGCTGCCTCGAAACAGCTGAGACATTATCGTCCAAATAGACTCCAAAAACGCTGATGGCAGATTGGAAGGGTGACGTGAATGTCTGAGTCCCATTTGAGAAAGACTGATTTCAGTTGGACTGTGAACATGAACCTTCTCATTATTCAGGACTGGCAGCAACAGAGACAGTTAACATTTTGACAAATGGCCGCACAAATTCCGACCCAGCTAACAGAAAAACCCAGAACAAATACTATTTGTCTAAGTGTGTGTCTTCAACCCGTCAGCAGAGAGCATGCTGTGGAAACCCAGCTTGTAACAATACACTGTTTCTAGACAAAAGCAACAGCAGCACACTATGAAACAGATAAGGTTTCACCAGACCTCAGTTCAGCAAGGAAGAAACTACGCCAGGGAAACAGACTCTCATTTTAGAGACCTTTTTTTTACTTCAGGCACCCCATTTTAACCCGACTGAGTCAGGGAGCCAAAATTGATCTGTTAGGACTCACCTTCCAGCTGATGTTGTTACACAGGCAACTTTGAAATGTGTCCCAAAACATCGGTTTACCCCTATAAATGATTTCACAATTCACAACATTTTGGTGCTGCACTAGAGAACCGAGGTCATGCTCTGCAGTGATTTACCCTCAATGATGCACTGGACTTTCCTTTTGTAACATCACAAATCAGTATTTGGCTCCCTCTTTACCACTCAAGGTTAGATTAGTGTAGCAAACTGAACAAAAAAAAAGGAAACATTTTCTTTCCATTTGTCATCTCGAGGTTAAAAATCTGTCCTAAACTCATTGTGATCTCCACTGGCGCGCCCTCATTTATCTGGTCAGATGCAGACGGTAATTTTGGTTTTAGCACCAACGTGTCATCTTGTTGAGCTCACTCTGGTCAAAATTAGACTCAACTGTTAAAGGACTCTGCTTATATTCTAAGAAAGAAGTGGCATTTTGTGCATATAAGCCATACTCTCACTATTATTCTCCTGAAAGGAGCACTTTATTAATGGAGGGAAGACCAAGTTCAGCTTGAGATGAAACATGGAGGAACTCCAGGTGAGCTACGATGGAGTACCCTGAAGAATGATGAACAGGCTCCTATTGGTCCAGAGCCACCTATACAACAGATGAAAACTTCTCCACAGAGAGAAACCTGTGGCAGGAGTATTTTGTTAGAATACCTTAAACAAAACTTCAAACACTCTGATGTTTCAAATAGGATCTACAAGCTGTTTAAAGGAGGTTTTAAAAAGGACTGGCCATACAGAGTGCTCAAACCTTTCCCACAGCCCCTTTTCAGTCATATTCGGTGTGAGTTTGAAGTTTCACAGATAAAAATAAGATGTAATCCACATATTCATAAACTTCCAGTGGCAAATGCCTTCGTGTGTGGCCCAACACAAGCCCAACCTCCACACACAGTTAGTCTGCCAAATCACATCACTGAACAGAAAGGAAAAAGAACACAAAAAAAGTATGACAGCGTATTTCTGTCTGAAACTCTTGTTTTTAGCTGCTGAATCTTCAGGTCAGGAACAGTCAAATAAAGAGGCTGATAGACGTATAAAGTGCCCACGATTGGCACAGTCAGTTTGGTCAATAACTGGGTCAGAGATCAGATTGTTCATGCCATCCTGGGAATCCTGGGAGCAATTCTGATGTGACTGACACCAGACAGCAGAGATAGTGGGTGGCAAATGTGATTTCTACATGGGCCGGTACTCTGATCCACAAGCCTGAAAGGAATCTGGTGTTGAATTAAAGTGCTGTTCCAGCTTATTTTGTAGTACCTATGTTACTTAATATCTTTCTATTCAATTATTTTATGCTTAAATGATGATTCTATTGTCCTACAACCAGTATACAACTCATGTAAAAAAGAGCTGATGCCAAGTGAAAAAAAATACCACTGTCCCTTTCAAGAGGCCGTTTAAGGTCCCAACTCAGGAATGTGACCTTCGCCTTTTACAGAGAATGAAAATATATGGGACAGTGGGTCTATTCTTGTTGCAGAGGAGAAAAAAGTTTCCTTTAAAACTTGGCTAATGCTTTCAATATACCAAATGGGTGAAAGGAGCACGTTTCTTAGTGATATTTCTGTTGCTGATGTGAGCACGGCTCCTGAAAAGTGACACAGCCAGGCCTTAAAGAGAAATCTGCCTCAGACTTTTTTTAACAAACTGTTGCAGGCCCTCCCTCGAAGTCAAAAACTCTGTAGAAAAAAAGGTGGTGACAAATAGATTTATAGAATGAGTGCAACACTCATTAAAGGACACCTGGTCTTGGTAGCTTGTGCATGGTGCCGAGCCAAGCTCTCAGTGCGGCCATTTCATCACAAACTGTAACTCTAAATTAGCAAGCATGTCGCTGATTTCAAATCAGACTCTTTTGTTACTTGCCCAAACTAAATTGCTTAAAGAACCCAAGGCATCAGCTTTAACACTGGATGAAAAAAACACTAAATAAAATTATAGCTGAGAGCTAAAAAGGAATGCAAAATGTTTGCTTTGTACTCCATGACCTTCTTTCCCCTACAACAGGCACAAAGAAAGCATAAGCACAAGTGGCCCTAAAATCCAACTGCATTAGTAAACTTTAATGTACATCCCACTTCTGACACACCTCTGTCTAAAGTTTAAGGTTCCTCAAAGTATCCTCTGAGTGTCGGGTAGCTTGAAAGAACACTGGGGACATCTGGCTCACACATTAACCTCTCAGGGATCAAAGTTCTCAGAGATGAAGGCAGTGACACACAGACACACATAACAGAGCCTCACTTCAACTTTGCCCTAATTGGCTAATCGTGGGACAAATGCGTGCGTCTGTTAAAAGGCCAACATTTGTACAATATCTGTGTCCAGCCCTCTGAGCAGAACAAATCTAATCAATTTACTACAACTAGAAATAAATTCCTGATTTATGGCACGTCATTTCATCTTGAACGATTACTGATTACATGTGGAAATAATCCAGTCAGGTAAAATGGGAAGAGCGAACCGACAGCAAATAATCAATTTTTGTTTTCAGTACAACGATGGGAGACAGGACTGATGAATTATTTAGTACAGCATTGGTCATCCGATTTATCCACAATAGAGAGAAAAGTAACATCCAGTCAAGAAGAAAGACACAGCACGCATCATCAGTCATCAGTATGGGCATTAAGGGCCAGTTTACACTGCAAATAATAAGTGAATTTGCTTTGTCTCGTAGCTGTGGAGGAATGCAAAACAGTGTACCGACTGTGGACTCAGGGAAACGCACAGAGAAGGGACACTTTCTGTAATTCTATTCAAAACATGATACACGATGGTTTGATAAAATAGTCACATCCATGAGTGTCTACTTCTTAAAGGAGCAAAGCTGGACAGGGGATCACTAGACTCTCTACCTTTGTAACTTCAACAACTTTGTGCCCAGACATGTCTGAGGTGGAGCACCACACAGCTGAAACCTGTACTGTCCTTGGATCA